AAAGCTCAATGGTTTGGTAATATAGTCTATATAAGGCCTGGGAAAGAAGGAGCAACTGGAAGTAGACCTGAGTAAATTCTATTAAGTTCTCTACACACTGCTCAGGACAATATAAAGGACACAGAAAAGTTGGTTATTTCTGGAGAAAGAGAGTAGCACTCCAATTCACAATGGGCTGAAGGTGTTCATTGCAAATAAGTCAGGTTCATGCTAAGTGCTGGCTAAGTAGTCCATGCTGAATGAATGGCCCACAGGTTCCTAGAATCATGGCAGGGTTAGCACATGAAACTGGCCGATAGTGGCAGAGTGACATTTTGCTAGGATTTCTGGGATCATATTTTCAAACCCTTCAGTATGGCTTCATGTTAGGTACAGTGAGCAAGAATTATACTCTACTGCAGTTTGGTACATGACATTTCACATGCTCTTTTGTCCAAATCTAATTAGATCAGAGTGTTTTAGGTGTTGATTTTCAAACAGAGGGACACTAAAAGCAGAATCACAAAGCAAAACGCACTATCTCTACAAGCAGAGGGAATATGCAATGCACGGTATAAGCTTATTAAATTTTTTTTCTGGTAAACTTCTTAATATATGTCATAGTTAAGAATGTGCCTGCTTTAGATATCCCCAGCCATGATAGGAGGGGCAGGGACAGAAGGTAATTGCCTTAGGGAAGTTAATAGAAAATCTTACTGATACAGAAGCTATGATTTGCTCTTACATTTGTCTCCGTCAAAGCAGGCGTTTTCTGCATTCACTACCAAGAGAGGGAACTTTGTTACCCTCAGCCATCCTATTTCCTGTCTCTAGAGGTTTCCGTTTCCTACTCCTCATGATATCACAGTCATTTAGCTTCCAGTCTATCACCAAACTAATCACTGTAGTATTTATCGACATCCTCGCTCACAGAATGTGTTAGTGTTTGGGGTGATTTCTCATCAGGTCTGAGAACATAAAGCACAGAAGTAGAACACTTCTGAAGGATGATAACTGCAAGAGATGCTTTAAAACGGGTATAACTTGGAAATGGCGGGCACCTCCATGCATGTATGAAAGTAAATCAATAAGCATGGGTTTGATTCAGATAAATCTTAAGACAGATTAAGACACATTTGGGAATCTATTATTTATTTTATCTAAGGCCATGTTGAAAGAAAAAATACAAATATAGGAAAAAGGGAAACATGAGGAAGGACAGAGAAAAGAAGGAAGGAAGGAAAGAAGGAAGAAGAAAATTAAATTGTGAGTTGTGTCGATTAAAAATGTAGTTTTTAAAGGACTGTGAAGTAACTTAGAAGTTTGAAAATAGTTATAAGGAAATTGTTGTTGTTATAAGGAAAGGTATGTTCTCTTTGGTTACGAGATTTCTGAAGCACACAAGGTCGTAATGAACTTCAGTTTCATTCACTCCCTGAACAAAACTGTTGCAGAGCCCATACAGACTATATGGCTGTTGAACAGATGCTAAACCCTTATGGAATATGATGCATCTCTAGGTGGCTATACCCTCTGTGTTTGACAAGTTTCTGACTCTGAACCTCTTCAGATAAAACCACAGTGAAGGTTTTCTCTTATTGGTCTTTCTAGTGATTTCTATTTGTTACTGTGGTATATAGGCAGAAACAACAAATTTGTTTTTCTATGTTTTCTATTAGCAGCAAGCTTACAAAGTCATTTTGTTTGGAAAGTAATAGCTACAAGACTTAAAAGCATTGCTTTTAGATTTCAATTCTACTATATTAAACAGCCACTGTTGAATGTCTATTCAAAACCAGGGTTGGTACTAAGAGCTGAAATTTGGATATGAAAAAGTATGAGTCATTTTTTAATTTTGAAATAAGCTGCACATTTTAAATGTAAGATATAAGTGTGCTGAATATTATATAACAGAGCGATTAAAAACAATAGTTCTTATGCAATGATATTATGACCATTTTAACTTCAGTTAATTGTACTGAGGCAATTTGTCTGCCTTGCTGTTTTCCGAGATAATATTTGTAATAGCTAGCATCTATTAAATACAATTTGCAGTAAACTTTTTTATCTTATAATGCTTATAACAGTTTTGTCATAGAGATATTGTTATGAATTTTCTAAAGATGAAAAGACCAAAGACTTTTGAGGCTTATAAGCTTCATCAAGTTTACACAACTAGAAAGGACAAAGGCTAGATTTCAAGGCCAAACTTTCCTGTTAGGCCAGCCCATATCCCTTGCCATTATACTTTCCTATTGTAGCCACTTAAATTAGCTACAATATATTTATATGATAGCCCATATATTCCCAAGTTTTCATAACAAAGTTTTGGAACAATAAAAAGTATTATGCTTCTGAGGTTCTGTCCAATGACTTAAAGCCAGAAACAATGAAGAAATGGCATGATTATATAGCCCTATGACATAGGTTAACAATTGATTTATTCCTTTAAATATCTATCTCTATGCTCCAGATGGGCCAATATTAGCTTAAACTGTGTTATTGAGTTCTTTCAATCATTAGAAAATCATCTTGTCACTGAGCCGTTTCCAGAGATTTTGTTTGCTCTTAGCATATATATCTCAGCCTGTCATCTGAAACAGACTTTCCTTTTGAGATATTTCAGAATATTTGCCCACAGAAACAGTTTAAAAGTATATGGAGAACAACCCCAGAGAAGCTAGGAAAGAAGGAGGACCATAAGGGAGACAACCTGGACTCCCCAAGAAGGGGAAAGGGACAAGAACTCCTGAGTAAATTGGGAGCACAGGGGAAGAGGGGGAGGGAGGGAGGAGGAAAAAGAGGGAAGAAGAGGAGGGGGAGGAGAACATGAGGGATTAGAAAGGTCCACTTGGGGGGAAAAACAGAAAGAGAGCAAGGAAAGTGATACCTTATTAGAGGGAGCCTTTATGGGCTTAACAAGAAACCACCTGGCTTAGGGAAATTTCCAGGAATCCACAAGGATGACCTCAACTGACAATCTAAGTAATAGTGCTGAGGCTACCTGAAAGGCCTTTTCCTATAAAGAGATTGATGACTGCCTTAAATGCCATCATAGAGACTTCATCCAGTAGCTGATGGAAGCAGAAGCAGAGATTCACAGCTAAGCACTGAGCCGAACTCCTAGAATCCAGGTGTAGAAAGGGAGGAGTGATGAGCAAAGGGTCCAGACCATGCTGGGGAAACCCACAGAAACAGCTGACCTGAGCAAGTGGGAGCTCATGAACTCCAGACTGACAGCTGGGGAACCTGCTTAAGACCTAACTAGACAGCTGGGAGGTGGTGGCACACGCCTTTAATCCCAGCACTCGGGAGGCAGAGGCAGGCGGATCTCTGTGAGTTTGAGGCCAGGCTTGTCTACAAGAGCTATTTCCAGGACAGCCTCCAAAGCCACAGAGAAACCCTGTCTCAAAAAACAACAACAACAAAACAAACAAACAAACAAACAAACAAACAAAAGGCCTAACTAGGCCCCTTGAATGTGTGTGTGTTACTTGGGCAGCCTGGACAGTCTATGGCGCCTCTGGCAGTAGAACCAGTATTTATCCCTACTGGCTTTGGGAGAGGGCCCAGATCCTATACCAAGTGATGTGACAGACTTTGAAGATCCTCCACGGGAGGCTTCACCCTCCCCGAGGAATGGATGGGGGTTGGGAATGGGGAGATGGTGAGGGGAATGGGAGAAAGGAGGGAGAGGGAACTGGGATTGGTATGTAAAATAAGATTGTTTTTAATTTAAATAATAATTAATTTAAAAGATGTGGAGAAAAAGTATTATACAATTCGAAAATAGAACAGCATTAAATCAAGGTATAGTGTATTGTTTTTATTAAGCCCTCTAGAAGGGAAAATATTTTAAGAGATCCTCATTTAAGAGATTTGTAATCATTTGTTTCTTGTTATATCATATTCTCTAGGTAAGCATAAAGTCCTTACTATTTATACACTATTTGCAACCTCTACTAATATGTGGTTCAAAAGCTGTAACAAATTGCACATTTTGTCAATAGCTAGAAACATTTTCTCTCCAATGGGCACTGCAGAATTGTTAATAGCATTGCTCCATGATCATAATTAGTTGTTTCCCCCCTGAATTTGCTTCATCTCTAGTCTCCTTGATATTAATGTACACCTCCTGCTAGAATCAACAAAGAGTTTGAGGTTTTTGATAAGAAGAGTGCCTCCTAAATGGGAATGGAGGAATGCCAAGAGAAATGATGACAAAATGACATATTCTCTATAAAAGATTGTTCATTCAGCAAAGTCTCCAAATTCCCTTTGTGCTCATTGTGATGTAGAACACTTAACCATGATCATATATCAGCTAAAATACATTTTATATAATTAATGAAGAAATACTGCTTTGTAGACCATGTGTTGTTAAAGCAAACTCTCAGTGCAAGAGTGACTGACTGATTATGGGGCAGGTTTGATTACGAGTTGTGTTGTTCTAACCATGGGTTTTCCTATGGCAGTCCACCTTTCTTTCCTCTTTGCTCTTGTGTTCTTACTGCAAAAAACTTGATCTCAGGAAGACCAGGAATAGCTACAGTTCCAGTGTGATAGATGTAGTACTAAACATCAGTATAACCACTATAATGTGTTCTAATTTCTACAGCAAATGCAGACTGCTTCTACTTTGGTAGACGTACCAATTTACATTCTCATCTGTTGACTCACTGAGGGTTCTATATCATGTCATTGCAGTCTATCAATGAATGGTCCCCATATTCCTTTAACTATATTCCCATCTCAGGTATGAGCAATGTCCCATAAAAAAAATCCATGATTTTATTATAAGAACATTCATGAATTTTAAAAAGAAATAAGACTTGTATTCAAATGAAATTGTAATCCTCTATTATTAATCCAGTGAGTATGAGTATCATGTGGAAATTAGAACATTAAATTAAGAGCTGAAAATTAGAGTTAAATAACTCACTTTTATTTAAATGACTACATGCACAACCTGCCAAGTTATTTTCATTTTTTTAAAACATCAATTGTTTGTGCTTTTCCAGTCTATCCGAGAGGTCACGGGCTACGTACTGGTGGCCCTCAACCAGTTCCGTTACCTGCCTCTGGAGAATTTACGCATTATTCGTGGAACAAAACTGTATGAAGATCGTTATGCCTTAGCGATATTCCTAAACTACAGAAAAGATGGCAATTTTGGACTTCAAGAACTTGGATTAAAGAATCTGACTGGTAAGAAGAAAATAAAAAACTAGTATGTAATGTGATGTAATGCCCATGTGTGCATATGCTTGGGTTCTGGTGTTCGGTGTGGAAGGGCCTGTCGTAGCTAAGTGAATGGTATGTACTCATTTCATGAGAAATGATGCCTCTGCGATGCCCTCACTTTTATTTACAGATGTTGTGGTAAGCGCCATGTGAAAGATAGCAGAATATTGTATCTCAGCTGAACAGAAGCACACTCTAAGGAAATGCTCAGCAACTGCAAACAGAGATAGGAAGCAGGCGTAGGAATGCTGCTTGGTGGTCTCGGGTGAATGGACCAGATCATCAAAGCTCTGCGATAACACCACCACAGTCCTCATGCCTGTCAGAGCTTAGTAATGCCCAAGCTATTACATCTAGTACGACTAATCTTTAGATTTTTACAGGATCACCCGAATTTAGGGGGACAGTCTCATTTATTCGGTTCCCGTTTCTCCTTAGTAGCTCACCGAACAAGATCACCGATTCTCAGCATGTTTTGGTACCATACGTGAAAGTTTCTTAGCATTGTAGACATATGAAACTAACACACTAGACGTAGCATCCTGATACAAAACTTTGCAGCGATTTTTGTTCCTACTTCATGTTTATTAAATTTCATATAAAATCTCATGGAATACTTTTTTATATAATCATGAATTTTACCAAATATATCTATAGTTAAAGTGTGCTGATAGAATATTCAAACCTACCATTAGCTCACATTATTAATTTACTTGAAATTACTAACATATATACATGGATTACATGCTGCACCTTGAAAAATTAAATACATTAAGGGTATTTGTCATTAGTATGATTAACATTGTTTACTTATTGAGATAGCTTAAGATGCACAGTGTACAAAGTAGAATATAAACATAAAAGTGGAAATTTTAATTTCATAACCATCCAGACATGTAATATAAATTTGGGAAAAAGGGGGCACAGAAAGAATAATGATAATGTCTGTTCTCAGGTCAAGGTTGCCGTAGAATTAATGAGATTATAGTAAATGCCTAGTGCTGGAAATGTATTTGTTCCTATAATCAACATTATTACTTCAGTTTTTTTCAGGATAATTTACCTACTGAAGAATGGCCTTTTAAAAATATATTGTTTCCTACATATAAGTAATGACTGTAAAAGGAATTTTGAAATAAGATGGTTGGGGAAGGAAACTAAATGGCTACAATTAGACATCTAAAACTTAGATAATACAACTAAAACTTGCAAACTTACACAAGAAACATTGTGTGTCTTTCATGACTTTTCGATGGTTATGTTAAGAAATAAAAGAAATTTTTTTCAGAATTTTAAAGTGTTAGAATCTTATTGTTATGTAAAATGAGCTAGTTGAATATTTTTTCTGTATATAAAAACGCTTATTAAAAGTTCCTCATATTTATTTCTGTCAAATACTTCTAAAATAATAGTCAAAGGTTTCTAACAAAATTATGTTACATTTAAATATGTTTTAGCCACTGGGTTCATTGCATTTATTAATTATGATTATGACAGTTGAGTGAGTTTTCTTGTTGCACTAAAATATAACACTATCATTCAAAGTAATCTCTAACTTCAATAGTGCTATATTTCTGGACATTTGCAGAAATGCATAATTTATTAAGGTTAAGGGTTGGTTCCTTAGAAAATCTGTGTTCATTTAAAAGGTAGTTCACTTTCTTCTTAGCGTGGGACTCAAAAACTGTGTAATAAAATATATGGTGGAAATTCTGAGCATTGTGGATATTTTTTTGATATTTGATTTATTCAGAGGTTGACAATCGTGTGCAAATATGTTTGTATGTATCTAGAATGTTTCAACCTTAGGTCACATGGTTGGAATGATGACTGCAATTCTGACAGTTACAAACTGCATGGTAAATGCTATTACATTTGTCTATGATAATGTTTGAGGATGGCCTGAAAGCCCCTGCTTATGCATATGAAGAGAAGTTTTGGGAAGGTTTGTTCTATTTTGGAGAGCTAAATAGTCTAGGTAATCTGGTTAAAAAAGGAGTAAATATTGCATTTCCATCTCGGTTAGATCGGGCTTATGCTTTAGAAAGTTATGTCTTTTATGTTATCATTTTATTGTTCTATAAAAGAAGTTGATAATTTTCTAAATTATATTACACACAGGGCTACAAGCTTTGCTCTAATTATAGTCTAATAAAAATAAGTATGGTTATTTAAAAACCTCAGCATGTTATCTTATCATGGTGTATTTGACTTGTTAACAATGGTGTATTATGCTTTTTAGCTGCAAATCATAGGCTGGACTTGAGATGTGCTGAATGGCAACTCTGGGGGTGGGTTAGTAACATTCATTTGAAGACCTTCACATGATTCTGATTACTGAGGCTTTGGATTCACTTTTCCAGACGTATTAAAGCAATGTTACCAAAGAGCAATAGCACAATATCTAGTTAACCTTTTCACATGTCTTTGGCAAAAGTAATTTTCATTCATCTATCATATTATGGAAAGAAGAGTAGGAGTGAGACAGAAACAGATATTCTTTTCATTGCACATCAGCAATTATACTTTGGGTTGGGTTCAGAACATAAAAAGCACAGTGGGAGCCTGGATAGAAATGTGGACAAAATATCTGAGACAGAGGGGGATGCATTACAGTTGGTAGAGTACCTGCCTTATAGGGAAGAAGCCCTAGCTATGGTCCTCAGCTCATTATAAAGCTAAGTATGTTGAAATACTCCCTTAAGGCCAAACCCAGGAGACTAGGGAAGGTATCAAAAGTTCAGTTTTATTCTAAAGTATTGGCAAGTTTGTACTCAGCCTGGAATACCAAAGATCATGTTTGTAAAAAAAAAATACATACATGTGAACTTGCAAACAAACACATGTAATTTTATAGTATATATTTCTTACCAAATAGTTTTCATTCTCTTGATGTTAGAAAAGAATGACTTGTGAATAGCACATTTTCTTCCAGTGAATTCTCTTACAGATGTTTATTGTACTGTATAAAGTGAATGTTTGGAAACATAAGACTGCCATTATGTTTGTTTGTGACGAGCTACTGTTTTAGTGTTTGTAGGTTAACTGCTGTCTTAAGCACCTATGTTAAACTTGATGCTCACCAAAAGCTGTTCCTCAGGTATGATATATTGTGGATGTATAGAAAAGGAATTTCAATGAGGAATTCTCTGACTCAGCCTAGCCCATAGGTGTGAGTTTGATAATTTTCTTAGTCTTGTTAATTTAGATGGGAAGACACACCCTTTGGTGGGTATGAGCAGCACCATTGCATAGCATGAACCCTGGACTGGATACAAATTGAGACCGAATGCTGACACTAATACAGAGATATTAGTTCAGTGTTCTCTGAGGTTGACTTTGGATTTAATGTGGCCAGTTCTCTTGAACTCCTGCTACTGTGGTTTCCCTACTATAATGGATTATAAACTGCAGTTTTCAGCTCAAATAAACCCTTCCCCCTCAAATTGTTTTCATAAGGGTATTTAAATACTGCATCAAAGAGGAAAAAAAGCCCACAGGCTGAAGACTTTATACCTACCTGACTTTGACACTGTCAGTTTGATTTTGTCAAAAACATGAAACATACTTAAACTGGTCCTCCCACCATAGTTAAAAAGAAAAATGTGTTTTACTGCTGCCAGTCACATCTTTGTGCTTAATTATTACTGATAGAACTAGAGTGGAGAAAGGGAGGATACTAGGCACAGAAAAAAAAAAAAGAAAAAAAAAAGAAAAGAAAAATCCCAGCATCTGCTGGATGCCCTGTTAGTACAGCATGATCTTTTCTGCCTATGGGAAAGGTAGGTTTTGTCCAGGGTAGACCATCAAGGATGAGTCAACCTCACTGGAAGACTTTGGGAATGTCACTTCTACATCAGAAGAGTAAGACTGTAACTGTGGAGGACAGAAAATTGTATTAATGCCATTCAAGCATGGTTGTCGTTCTCATAAGTCACTCCCAGGGCTGATGTCCTATAAGATTCTTCTTAACCAACCATTTCTCTTCAAAATTCATGTCAAACTTTAACATCAGTAATATTTCCTTAAATTTATACTTGTCAACATATATAGTTGTGGTTAATTATTAATAATTAGTTAATAATAACTTATTAACAATTAGTTGTGGCATAAATAACTAATTGGTTAACATCTAAAAAGGGATTAAACTTATGAGACATAATAATATTAACTTATATCATAAATTCACTTTATCTGTTATTGAAATGGATAATATAATTTAACATATATGTTAAAGTTTACAGAAGATGGAATCATAGAATAACACTTAAGTTTCCATACATGTATAGGTATGTCTATTCTCCTAAATTGCACTTAAACAATTTAATAAATTTTCATTTCACTAATTGTGGGAATATTCTTTTTAAGTAGATGAAATAAATAGGTGAAATTGAGGATAATATATAAGTAAATTTATGTTTCAGAATAATATCCTCAAGTATTTTTCTACATTCACCATTTTATGAATAATATAATCACTTCCCTAGCTCTATACTTGATTATTTTAATTAGATCATTAGTTGAGATGTAAACAAGCAAAATCTTATTTAAAAAATAAATACAATGTGATGATAATTTTGGAAATGTTGAATAATAATATAAAGGACACATTAAGTTTACTGTGTTCTCGGAGTATAAAAATAAATTGTTTAGATAAGGGTACTTTACATCTCAATAATGTAAAATTTAAGCCAGGATTAATAATGTAATCACTGAATTACCCCAAGATTCAAATGCACATGTGTCACTGATGAAAACATACATTAGTATAACACAATATCTATCTATTAGTATTTAACATTCTCAAACCTCCTATATTATTCAGTAGTGCTCACAAAAATAACCAATTTCATAATGGGCAGACTACCTGTGCTTTATTCAATGAATGTCAAAGAACATGGATGGAGAACCAGAGTTCTTGGTTTAATGAGTATCTATTCCTTACAGCCTGAGCATCTCAGAAA